AACTCTCAGCCTCTTAAAATGAGAGAGAGAAAGAGGATGAAGCGAGATCACTCCTTTATGTCACAGAAAAAAAGCTCAAAGGGAGCAACTTTTAAAAGTTCCCTCTCTCGCAGGTTTTCAGATGACTAATAATACAGATGAGTTAGAGGGAAAAACAGGAAATGAGCGAAAGAGGACATTAAGATAATTACCTATCGATATGTTTGGAATTTTTGTTGTATAAGCTTTTGGTGAATTCAATCATTGACTATTTTAGGATTGGTAGAAAGGAAGAATTCCAACACAAAAACTCTTTTTTTTAAAATGAGGATATAAACAAATATTTGACCAGAAGGGACTCTACCGTCCAAGTCTGAGCACCACTAATGAAGCAATATTTGCAATTAGCACTCGCTGGCATAAAGAAAATGTCAAATGATAATTAAAACGAGGTGCTAATTAATTCAAAATGCCAGACCAATTTCATCACAGAATATATAAATAAACACGAACTGCTTGTCATGACAGGATTGCATTTATGATATTGTAGCATGGAAAACTTGCTATTTATTAAACATTGTTCTGTCACATTGAAAATAATTGAAATATATTTTGTTCCAATTTTTCATGCAGCTGCCCTATTTACATAAAACATACCGGCCTACTTTACATAAACTTTTTCCAAAATAGAAAAATAAACCCAACCGATGACCACTGCAGTACAGAAGCGCATGGTCCTCTCCAGTCCTCTTCATAGTCTATTTGAGGAATTCTATTCGAATGTTTTTTTTCTGAGGTTTCTATGGATACAAAAAGCCTCTGATTCTTGATTCTATGAAAGTGTGCGTCCTCAAGACTGCAGCACTTGAGAGTTTCTAGTTGGATTGTCTTTTCCTGCAGGCTTTCAGAATTCTGTCAAAGTGCAACCTAGAGCGGTGGTGAAACTGTACTTTCTAGAAGTTCCTGGGACTATTTCAGATTGTTTTGTCTATCCGGATTTAATGTTTATTCCAATATGACCTTCTGTTCCCTTTCAAGGCGGTCACTTCGACATTTACGTCGATGACGTAGTATGGGAACTCCTCCCCTTCTTCACTTCTGCTGAAATCTTATGGGCTAACGCCAGCTGGAGACAGCTGGCCAATTGACACAAAATATGCAAATACTGACACGCCTGCTGGCAGTATAAATTGCATACGCGCGTCAATTGCATCAGAATCCTTTTCTTCACGCTCAAATCGACGTGTGCTTCGAATTGGAAGATACTCTACAAAAACTCGCCATCGTCGAAGGTGCATCTAAAGATACCTCACTGTCTTTGGCATCCGATGGCATCCATCTGCAACTTGTGCTCGGGGCCTATTGTGGCGCCCGACACCCACTTGTTCTGCGTCGCCTGCATGGGCCTGGGCCTGGCCCACGCCGAGACGGCCCTGTTGGACGACCTTGTGTGCGCCCACTGCGCGGACATGCCAGTGCGCGCCCTTAAGGCCAGGAGAGAAACGGCTCGAGCAGCTGCAGGGATTGGGCCCACTGCCGCCAGCGAGCCGCTGGTGGGCCCACCCACCCCCAGAGAAAGGGAGCTCGACGCCGTCAGCTTCTCGGACGCTAGTTTGTGGTACCCAAGAGAGGGGGGGGGGTCTCCGTCCGATCCTGGACCTGAGACCCATAAACCGAGCACTTTGTGGTACCCAAGAGAGGGGGGGGGGTCTCCGTCCGATCCTGGACCTGAGACCCATAAACCGAGCACTTCACAAGCGCGCGTTCAAAATGACAACGTTGAAGCAGATTCTGGCGCAAGTTCGTCCCGGGGATTGGTTCGCTTCAGTGGATTTAAAGGACGCGTACTTTCATATCCAGATAGCAGCGCGCCACATGCGCTTTCTGAGGTTTGCGTTCGAGGGCACAGCTTATCAGTACTCAGTACTCCCGTTCGGATTGGCTCTTGCCCCCCGCACCTTTTCGAAGTGTGTGGACGCGGCGCTTTCTCCCCTCAGGTCGAGCGGAATGCGCATCCTAAATTATCTGGACGATTGGTTGATTCTAGCCCACTCGCGAGAGGTGCTAATCAGTCATGTGGAAATACTACTTCGTCACCTGGACTCGCTGGGGATGCGTGTAAACGAACAGAAAAGCGTGTTCACACCGAGTCAGACCACAACATTTCTGGGAGTGTGCTTGAACTCAATAACGATGCGAGCCCATCTCTCTCAAGAGCGCATAAAGTCTCTGACATTGTCTCTGGACCGTTTCAGACCGGGCAGGTCTGTGCCACTAAAGGAATTTCAGAGGCTGTTAGGTCTGTTGGCGGCAGCCTCCCCAGTGTGTCATCTGGGGCTGTTGCATATGCGCCCTCTTCAAATCTGGTTGAAGCTCCGAGTCCCTCAGGGGGCGTGGTCGTCCCGACTCAGGCGCATCACGGTCACCCGCAGCTGCATTCGCACTTTGGTACCGTGGAAAAACCCAGCGTTATTCAGTTCAGGGGTTCCGATGGGCACCGTGGCGCATCGCACCGCAGTCTTGACGGATGCATCAACCTCAGGCTGGGGAGCAGTGTGCATGGGCGCGACTGCCTCAGGCTTATGGACGGAGTCGCAGCGAAAGTGGCATATAAACCGCTTGGAATTGATGGCGGTATCCTTAGCCCTCAAAGCCTTCCGGTCACAGTTAGAGCGTCAGCATGTACTGATTCGGACCGACAACACGTCGGTGGTCTCATACATAAATCGCCAGGGAGGCGTGCGCTCCAGACTCCTATTCGAGCAGGCGGCGAGTCTCCTGCTGTGGGCAGACCGGCACCTTCTATCCGTGAGAGCAGCGCATATTCCCGGTGTTTTGAATCGCGGAGCGGATATGCTCTCGAGGAATGGGATTCCTCATGGAGAGTGGAGGCTTCACCCGGGATCGGTGCAGATGATCTGGGATCGGTTCGGGAGGGCGGAAGTCGATCTGTTCGCCTCGAGCGAGAACACGCACTGCCAGGCGTTCTTCTCGCTGTCTCGTTCCCCCTTGGGACGGACGAACGACGCCTTGACTTCGCGCTGGCCGAGAGCCAGACTTTACGCCTTTCCTCCGGTGAAGATTCTGCCTACAGTGTTATGCAAAATCAGGGAGGAGAAAGCGTCTGTGATTCTCGTAGCCCCGAACTGGCCGAATCAGCCCTGGTTCACGGACATGATGGAATTACTAGTGGACTCCCCGTGGGAAATTCCGCTCAGGAGAGACCTGTTATCGCAGGCGAACGGCACGGTATGGCACCCCAACCCCGGGCTGTGGAACCTTCATGTATGGCCGCTGCGGGGACTCTGAATGAGCGGGACGCTCTGCACTCTCGAGCGATGAGCACTATCGCTGAGGCGCGCGCCCCATCCACTAGGCGTTTATAAAAATTGAAATGGGAAGTTTTCTCTAAATGGTGCCAGGATATCAGTATTGACCCGGGTAATTGCACCGTGTCGGATATTCTACGCTTCCTTCAGCACAGGATGGATAATGGGAGTTTACCGTCCACTCTGAAGGTGTATGTGGCTGCTATTTCTGCGTTTCACCCCCCGATCGAAGGACAGTCGATAGGTAAACATGCGTTGGTGATCAGTTTTCTCAGGGGAGCTAGGAGATTATGTCCGTCACGGCCACCTTCTGTGCCGCCGTGGGATTTAGCCCTAGTGTTGAGGGCTCTGTCTCTTCCACCGTTTGAGCCACTGGCTTCGATTGCGATCAAGGAGCTTTCCCTGAAAACTGCTTTGCTTCTCGCTCTTGCTTCAGCGAAACGTGTGGGGGACCTACAAGCGTTCTCGGTTCACGAGGACTGCATTCGTTTTGGACCGGGAGATTGTAATGTCACTCTTCGGCCAAGACAGGTTTACGTTCCGAAGTCACTCAGTACTCCGTTCAAAGCGCAGGTTGTTTTACTGCCGGCGTTGTCTTCTGAGTTGTCAGTCTCGCGTGATACTGATGCTCAGAGCGCTGTTTGCCCAGTCAGGGCTTTACGGATGTATATGACTCGCTCAGCCGCTTTTCGTCAATCGGATCAGCTATTTGTATGCTTTGGCGGTTGCAACAAGGGACGTGGAGTTTCGAAACAGAGGCTTGCTCACTGGATTGTGGATGCTATTGCCTTGGCTTATGATTGCCAGGGGGTGGTCTGTCCCCTCAACATTAAGGCTCATTCGACGAGGGCGATCGCCTCTTCGTGGGCCTGGTCCAGAGGTATGTCTATAAGGGACTTGTGTCTTGCTGCTGGCTGGTCTTCTCAGAATACGTTCGCCAGATTTTATAAGTTGGATGTACCTTCTGTTGCGTCTCAAGTGCTTTCGGTGAGCTGAGCCTTCAGGTTGTGCATGAATGCTTGATTTATGTATTGTGCTTATGCAACTGTCGCCGCTTTGCTGCTGACTTGTATTATACTTGCTATTACTCTGTGTTGTTCTGCCCTGAATGATTCAGTGCAAGACTTCCCTCTATTCATTTGCTTGGGATATGCAAATTTTGATGAGGTTTAGAAAGCGCGCTATTGGCTCGCTTCGCCCTATCAGGAGCTCGTATTTCTAGTAGCACAGCTATTGGATGAGGGTTCTGTCATTCTCGAGTGGGTGGGTTCACTGCTCCACGGCGGGATTTGACACAGTTCCCATACTACGTCATCGTCGTAAATGTCGAAGTGACCGCCTTGAAAGGGAACGTCTCCGGTTACTTTCGTAACCTCGGTTCCCTGAAAGGCAGGGAACGAGACATTTACGTCGAATGCCGTGTCGCTTGTTCATTCGAGCGTTCAGTCGTATTCTGATGCAATTGACGCGCGTATGCAATTTATACTGCCAGCAGGCGTGTCAGTATTTGCATATTTTGCGTCAATTGGCCAGCTGTCTCCAGCTGGCGTTAGCCCATAAGATTTCAGCAGAAGTGAAGAAGGGGAGGAGTTCCCATACTACGTCATCAACGTAAATGTCTCGTTCCCTGCCTTTCAGGGAACCGAGGTTACGAAAGTAACCGGAGACGTTTTCCTGACAGTTGGTGCTCACCTGAGTTTTCCACCTCCATCTTCACAGCAGGTGGTTCTTCAAGCGGAAGTCCGTCCACCTCAGTAAAAGTGAATGGCTTCTCTGAGGCTACAACGACTCCTTTACCCTGAGGCTCCACTGCAGCATAGTGGGGGACAGACTTGCCCTTCATCATCCTCCTCTTCCTCATTCCATACTTCCTCTCCTCACCTGTGAGAAAGAAAGCACTTTACTAGCTATATTTTTCTACATTGTATTTTTTTTCCTTCTTTATTTTTCCAGCACCTCCAACCCAAAATATATATTTAATAACTTAAACTTTTGAGCTGTTAGCTAGCTGTATAAATAAATATTTTGAGGTCATTATGATTATTTGAATGGAATTAATACTTTTATTTAGCAAGGATGCATTAAATTGATCAGTAAAGACATATATATATATATATATATATATATATACACTTTCAACTTTATTTTCATCAAATAATTCTGGGAAGAAAAATGTATTGCGGTTTCCACATTTTTTCAATATTGATAATTATAAGAAATGTCTCTGGTCTTGATCACCAAATATCAGCACATTAGAATGATTTCTGAAGGATCATGTGACTGAAGACTGGAGTAATCCCTGCTGAAAATTCAGAATAAATTGCATAAATACTGTATATTACAGTATTTCTGAATTGCTAAAACACTAAAATCCATTTGCAAAACCAAAGTTGCAAGTGTACAAACCACTTTATTGATTGAATCACACAGTTTGCAGAACTTTAAACACTTCTCATGTGGTTAGACACAACTATCAAATCGGAATCACTCTTTGTGCAAAACTGTAAACACATTGTCATTCACAAAGCACATGTGGTGCACTTCAACTCAGAATGCACAACCGAGCCCTCAAAAGTGAAACACAAGCAACACACTGTTGTCATCGGTAACACACAAGCACTCAAAATTTAACACACCTGTTTCAAATCAGTAATGGATATATCTGGATATAAAGCCATGTCAAATCCAAATGGCATGTGTGATTTTCACAATGGAGGGCATGAAGGAGGAAGTGGAAGTGAAAGAGGAAGAGGAGGAGAAGGAAGAGACAGAGGAGGAAGAGATGGAGGAGGAGGAGGAAGAGACAGAGGAGGAGGAGGAAGAAGAGACAGAGGAGGAGGAAGAGGAAGAGACAGAGGAGGAAGAGACAGAGGAGGAAGAGACAGAGGAGGAGGAGGAAGAGGAAGAGACAGAGGAGGAGGAGACAGGAGGAAGAGATGGAGGAGGAGGAGGAAGAGACAGAGGAGGAGGAAGAGACAGAGGAGGAAGAGATGGAGGAGGAAGAGATGGAGGAGGAGGAGGAAGAGACAGAGGAGGAGGAAGAGGAAGGGGAAGAGACAGAGGAGGAGGAGGAAGAACAAGAGCCATCATTTCCAATGAAATTAGAGCAACAATCATACACCATGTACTGGTTCATGGGATGAGTATGAGGGAAGCAGGACTCCGTGTTCAACCAAATATAAGCAGGTTCTCTGTGGCCTCCATTGTCAGGACATTCAGAGAAGAGAACAGGGAAGTGTACTATCATTTGTGCTCCCTCAAGCTTACAGTACAGTACAGTTGTGGGACATCTCAGTAAATTACTGTAACATATCTAAAAAAATTGGCCCTTTTCTTGCAGTATTACATTCAAACTAATAGTAGTATTACATAAAAATAATAGTTTTTTATGTATTGTACATATTTGGTGACATTTCAATTTACATAAAAATAATAGTATTTTACGTATTGTACATATTTGGTGACATTTCAATGCATTAGGCTTGTCTGTACAATTCTAACAAGAGGTTTTATTTGCTAGAATTGAAAGACTGCCACATGCCGGTGGAAGGAGAGGTATGTTCTCACAACAGCAGGAGACCATTATTGTCAATATGGTCCTTCATTTGAGAGAAATTTGATTCCAAAACATTGCTTGCTATCGATCTGCTGCATATTTTGTTTGTGACTACCTTTGTATGTGTGCAGGATTGTGCAAGTACTTCATAATAAATATAATTTTCCCCCTGCTCTGCCCTGAGTGCAGCGTTTTGCATTTATCTCTGTAGTGTGTAATGACTGCTGTGTAGTGTTTATGCATTAGCTAGCTGGATATGTGTGTTATCTGAAAACAGTGTTTGGTTTTGGGTAAAGATAACATAGTTCTGAAGCAATTGTTTGATATAGCAAGACAAGTCAAAGGTTTTAACAGTGTAGCTTAAGTTTGGAGATTTGTGTTTAAGGTTTTGAGAAAGCGAGAGAAACATTCAAAAATGTGTTTTAGCAATTCAGAAATACTGTAAAATAAAACAAAAAAAGTGTTATTTTAAATTGTAATAATATTTCACAATATTGCTGTATTTGTGATAACATTAATGCAGCCATGGTGAGCATTAGAGAATTACCAACCCCAAACCTTTGAATGGTAGTGTATATTTCCCTATCTACTGTCATTATATACAATGATGTCCAAAAAGGTCCTTGAAAATGCTTTAAATTACCATATATTTAACTGTTGGTAATAAATAGTATACAATTTCTAAGAGCTGAAATCATTTGAGCTGAACAACAGGGAGACACTCACTCTCTTCCTCCCCAACAGAGTTGTCCACAGTGATCCACTCCAGTGAGATTGAGAAACCGCTGCCTTTGGCATCAGATGGATCTTTCTGGACTCTCAGAAGCAGCACTTCAATGGTATGAACATGAGAGCGCACGTGAGCCAGGCTGTGAACGATGATGAACGGCTCTCCTAGACGCTCACTGAACATCGGCTGGGAGTGAAAATAAAATAAAAACAGTATACATGCAAAATAAGTAAATGTATAAACATGAATTCAACTCTCAATCAATCTCAAACCAACAATTAAAAACTAATATTTTGATGAGTGAGAAATGTAACTGTGAAGTAAAAATACTGGTCGACTTTCCCGCACCTCCCATTTAAGATGTGAACTCTCTCCCCTCTTGCTTGTGCGCAAAAGAGTCAACTTTCCGGTTCCATCGGACAGTGCGGCCCAAGTCGCGGAGGTCAGGCTCAGGGAAGCACACAACTGCTCCCCCTCACACAAGCTTGGGTCCGATTCAAAAAGGAACATCTCACGAGGTTTGCCCAAAGCTGTGTCCTGGGAAAATAGTAGATGGACACCTGTCAATTATGCTGTCTCTGAAAACCACACCTAGACCATCTCTACACCATAGGGAACAAGTCTAAGGGCATTTTCAGACCTAAAATTGTTCCAATGTTGCAATTTCTTTTGGGTTCGGTTCACTTTCACAAGGAAACATTTCAAAACTGACCGAAATCTGTTAATAAAAGTCATATGCGAGTAAATTAGTCAGAGTTTGCCAGAACAAATTTCAATTAGGCATTTCACTTCATCTTTGCTCCAGATATACCCACGAGTCATTTTGAGAGGCATTAACATGAAAATAAAAAAATAAAAAAAACCCTGCTTTTCACACAACTTACATAATTACTCATCTTATATTGTGGTACAGCCTGTATTGCTTTCTCACCACAAGCGAACCGCTCCAGAGTTAATTTTCAAGCAGGATTTTGCCATGTTCATATACACCAAAACGAACTGAAATAAGGGCGAAAATGTGCCAGGTTCTGAAACAAACACTCCAAATGAGCATTTTGTAAATAAATAAATAAATAAATGCAAAAATAAATATATGAAGAAATGTTAAAAGAAATGTAAAAAAAAAAGAAAAAAAGAAAAAAGAGTATTTATACTTTTATTTACTTATGTATAATTGTATTTTTTCCACATTTATTTATTTATACAAACAAATTATGAATAAATGTAGACATAAATACATACATACATAATAGTGGTAAAAAATAAATTTATAAATAAATAAATGAAAAAATAAATGTGAAAAATACAATTATACATAAAAAGGAAATAAAAGTATAACTTTTTATTTTTTTCATTTCTTTGTATATTTATTTATTTATTTATGTATTAAAAATATATATATATTTATGTATACATTTATTTATCATTTTAGCAGCTTGGGAATTACATATGAAAATGGAAGCTTTTTTCCACCATGGGGGAATAAAACAATTTAAAAGATAATTGCGACTTTTTCATCACACAACTGCGAGTTTACATCTCGCAATTCTAACAATTTTTCTCAGAATTGCAAGAGAAAAAAAAAGTCAGAATTGCCCGTAACAAAGTCAGAATTGTAAGATAAAAACTCGCAATTCTGACAATTTTTCTTGCAATTGTGCGTTTATATCTTACAATTCTGACTTTATAACTGCCAATTCTGGAAAAAAAAGTCAGAAATGCGAGATAAAAAGTCACAATTACCTTTTTTCTTTTTTATTCTGTGGCAGAAACAAGCTTCCATACCTAAGTGCTGTACACTAAAAGGGATATTTTTATGTAGACATGATTAATCTGTGTAAGTATTTTGGTGTACAATGCAAATGGAAATCCATGCAATTACAGTGAGGTAGGAACATTAATGGATCAATCCGTAAAGGGTATATCAACTTTTCTGGTTACCAGTTCAGATGATTAAAACTAAACTAATAAAGCACTAAGCAAGTCAGCAATGCAGCAAATCCAAAGTTAACATAAATTCAACCCCTAATGTGAAAGAACTTGTTTTGTGTACCATGGCGATCCACCACCTCACTACGATCATTTTCTTTACAAGGGCTTATTGAATCAACCTCTAGCCAAAAATCTTTTAAACAGCCAATGAAACTATTAAGAAGTAAAACTAATAAGTGTCATACATCCAAGTCTGCATGTTCCTGAACTTCAAAGGCAGCAATTTGAAAAGGATTACAATGAACTTAATAATCATCAATTACACTCTCTATAAGGTAGCTATTTTTCCAAAGAATTGAGCAGCAATTGGCCTTTTGTTGCCATGGAGCTTCAAACAGATCCATCTCAGTTTTCACTTCTTTCCCAGAGGTAAAATGCCCCCGTCTAAGTACCTTTGAGAGAATACAAACAGTCAAGAAGAGATAATTGCAGTATATTAGCTGTAATTATAGCGCAACTGGCACATTTCATAACGAGTAATTTCTTAACCCAGAATGTCAGTAGCAAGAATGACATAAATTACATTCAAATAATCAGCATATGATTTAAAACTAGCTCAGAACAAAACACGCTGCATTTCATCTTATTATGCATTTGTGAATGTTAACTTATTAAGCAATTGTTTGATTCCTTTGAGAAAGTAATGCATCTGAAATCAAACTCCTTAAAATTAAAATTCAAACACTAAAAAACAGAAAATCATTTTAAATAATACAAGTAAATTTAGTCTTAATAAATTCGTTTTTAAAGATTTTTTTTTAGGAGAAGGTAAGCTAAAACTTAAATTTAAATGATTTAAATGAACATGCACAATTAAATATCCAATAATACTGGTCTATAACCAATGTGGAAATACCACACATCCCTAGATTGTCATTACACTATGAGCACTATAAACTGCTTTTTATTATTTATAAGATGACTTTGGTTTTAATCAAGCAAATGAGTAAAATAATGAACAAGATAATAAGCAGGTAAGGGGTTTTTTAATGTTATTTTTTTTTTATACTGGTAAACTCAAGATTTGATCAAACTTCTACTTTGACACAACTATAAACCATGAATGCCCTCTGCTGGAAAAAAATTGAAATCGTCTAAAACTACATGCTGTATGCTTCTCAATCAGCCAGGCTGCATTGAGGTTTTGCATTTCTGCATTGAGTCCTTCTGAGGTTGGTAGGCTAAAGTCCTCCTCAGCATTAAATGCTAGAATGATACGACCCTTCAAGTTGAGACATCCTTTGACAGAGCTTGGTGTTGAGATATGCAGCCTTACTAGGATGCAGCCTTCCAATTGAGAAGCACCCGCTGTATCCCCTGGTTCAAAACATATACTGTATAGAACATACATGCAGAACTGTGTTTGTCAACCTTTTAATCAAAAGCCCCCCATTTTCAACACAATAATCGAAGGCCCTCCGTATTGGCTAAGATTTTTCACCTTGTACCTTTGCTGTAATTATGACCGAATTGCTTGTTTTCAAACTTTTTTTATTAACAGAAACTGGAAGTGTTGTTAAAGGGGTCCTATTAGGTCTTTCCACTTTTTTTAATGTGTAATTTATCTGTTTGGGCATAAAAAAGATCTGCAAGGTTACAAAGCTCTACTCCAAAGGGAGATATTTTACTTAACAGAATCCACTTTCCAAGAACTACAATGAACGACTCGTTTGGATTACAACGCATTTTTTCCAGATCTTACGAAGTCACAATTTTACTCATTTAAATAATCCGCGCACACGGAATACACAAAAAAGGGGACTTGTTTTCTGTTGCTTTTAAGCTCTTGCTTTTGTATGACGGTTCACCGCTCCTTAGGAAAATTAACCATGGTTTTGTGATCCATTACTGTTTGTATTACCTTAGTTTTCCGAAAAATATCACAATTAAATGGTAGATAACATTGTATATTTAATGTATACGAAAATTACAAAAAAACATACCACTCTGAAACGTCCTGTGAAATCCGTGCTTGCAAAGTCCGTGCATAAAATCTGTTCAGCACGATCCTCTTGTTTGTTAACATTGTCAGGGTCTGAATCGTGCTTGAATTCATTTGAAATTGACGCCATCCTTATTCATATTTCCACTAGAGAAGAACTCACAGTTATGGAGGTGGGACATTTCCCGAACACGTGCTAAGCGGTGGCAATCAAACACACTAGCCCAGCTAACCAATCACAGCGCATTGCGTATTTTGGAAGGAGGGGCTTCATCAAAATCGGTGTGTTGCCGTGTTTGAGCCAGACTGGGTAGAGAGGTGCTGTAATAATGTAAAATATGTGAAAAATAATGTGTTTTTTGAACAATCAAGCATAAAAAATATTCTACTACACCCCAAAAACTAAATCAAGTCTTCAGCATAATAGGACCCCACTAAATTAATTAAACATGATTCATTCTGTGATACTATAAGATTCAAGATTGTGATGTTTTTCAATAAAAATACGTTATTGAGGGAAATATATATATATATAAATACATACTTTTAAGTCATCCAGTGCCATCCTTGGAAGTTTGCTGAATACCTATTTACCTGTTTAGTGGGCTATATTTATTAAGAATGTATATTTGTTTCTGACCCACACATGCATTCTAAGGGAGAGAAAATACAGTAGCTATGTGCTCTGGGGTGGAAATATAAGTTCATCAAAATATGTGGCCCTTATACTCTTTCAGAATATTTCAGAAATGACATTAAGAGACTCACCAATGTGACTGTTAGATTGAGAACCCGGCCCTTGCTGTCAACAAAGTAGACGCTGTCTTCGTACCAGGGATCTATATGAAGGTAGTTGTACATACCAAATGCTCTCACATGGTCCAGAGTGTACTGACTGTCTTTCAGTTTAACCTCAGCCACAGCTGAAATAAAGAAACACATAACAGATGCAGCAGACTTGGAGAAGGCATCCCAAACCATATATGATGTCATGTGCCCTAAACACAGCTTTGGGCTAACTTTAAGATCATAACAAAGATGCAAACATCTGGTAGTTCATAAAGAGCACTGCACATGTTGTAGAGCTGCATTATCTGTAGTGCTATGTGGTTTATGGACTATTGACAATACAGCTCACAGTGCGCTGCATTAAAGCAACAAATAAACACTTATACAATGGATGGTATCAGGTCAAATAAATGTTTTTTTCTCACCTGCATCCAGCTCTACATTGTAAGTAGGAATAGAGTCCAGTGAAAGCCTGTAACTTTCAAAACTGGGATCCAGCAACTCTCTGTTTACCTTCAATGAGCAATTCGGTGAAGCCATATTTCTTAAAAATTATATTCCAAAGAAACAGTACATTCAGATCGAGGACAAATGTCTTTAATAAACCCAAAATCTAACGTTACTAGTAACAGGAAATAAGCTTTTACTGTCATGCACACGCTAAAACCCGGACAAGTTTTCAGACGGACCGAGCGCACGGGATTCTGGGAAATTGAGTCTCTGTAGGTTTCGTTTTATAGTCATAGTCCAGCATGAGTCACAAAGTAAAATGCATTGCTAAAAACGGATTCGCATTTGGCTTTTTTTTTTTTATGTGTTTTTTACTGGTACAAAATAAGAACATAGGCATAGCCTACTGTCTCTGTGTCTTAAAGACTGATATTGGCACGAACAATTAATTTGCATAATATTCATCAACGCTTGCTATTTGGTGGATGTGAGACATAATCTGTTAATGATAGGTATTATAATTGAACTTGAAAGTCATTCGTCAGCAATACAAACTAAAGAATAGTGTGTGTATGTTTGTATCTATCTATCTAGCTAACTTTAATTTTAATTATTTAATTATTTAGTTGATAAAATTTCCCTGGAGATAAAAACTGTTGCACTATTCAAATTTGGCAAAAAAAAAAAAAAAAAAAAGTAAGCTGTATCAAAGATGAATAGAGATCACACTTGGATATACCAGCACAACACACTGCTGTTAAATTATAAATTATCCTAAATCTTGTTCATCAGGACATGATCATCTTAATGACCTGAAATCATCATTTTATATATGGGCTGTTGTTTTGTTGCGTTGATACTGAAACACATTTTGCTCAAGTATAGCCTATGACTTATCACTGAATAAGTACAAGAATTCTCCTTGTAAATCTTCTTTATTTCATCTTGTTTTAGGTCATTCAAATGGATTACATTTAAGGGACATTAAATAGTCTATTCAGATTTAGTCACCATTTGAATATAAAAGTAATGTTGACATTACTGCACAAAGGTGAGTTTTAAATAAGGATTGTTATCTGTGAGTTTTTTTGGTGTTTGTTAAGGTACACCGAGAAAGAATAACTTGTGGAATGACAGCAATGTTCATGATCACCTGAGACACATAGGAAAAGCGCATTTCTTCTTGCCTGTGGGCTGGTAGTTTGCTATAAAAAGAGAGAGCTCCTCTCAACAAATGAGCCACTGGTGTTTGGATTTCCCTAGAGTGCTTTAACAGGTATGTGAGTCTTAATTGTGTCAGTGTGAACTTTGAAGAATTTTCCACATTACTATAATGTTCTTATTTAGTAATCTCTGTTTAATAATATCGATTACTTTTCTAAATATCTAACACTTATCTAACACTTATAATATCTAACACTGTTTAATATATATATATATTAAACAGTGTTAGATATTATAAGTGTTAGATACCGTAAGTGTTAGATATTTAGAAAAGTAATCGATATTTTTAGCCTATAAGTTGTAGGCTACTTTATGTATTTTTTTGTGTATTGATGATATATATATATCATCAATACACCAAAACAATACATAAAGTAGCCTACAACTTACATAGGCTAAAAATATCGATTACTTTTCTAAATATCTAACACTTATTTCCTGTTGTCAAGAATAATCATTGGCCTACTATTTTAACCTTTTTTTTTTCTTTTTTTTTTTTTACAAATATGTCTTTATATTTAATTAGGCTATATATAGACTTTATGTATTCACGGTGTAATTTTTTTATGTAGGCTATATTCACGTTATTGTCTATATTTATTGAATAGGCTATAGCCTGAATACTGAATAGGTATAGCCTGTCTGTTCAGCATTGTTTTCAGACGAACATGTTAAAATATGTTTTGTAATAGAAATACAAATGACAAGTGTAGGCTAATCACAAACGGTGTGTATATTGTTTGTGCAGAAGGTCTCCAGTAACTGCAGGCTGCTTTGTTTTGAAGCGCGCGAGTGCGTCAGGATGAGGCACGTGCGACGGGAGCTTCACCTGTCGCTCACAGTTTGTATTTTACTGTGGAGTTCCTCAGGTACGCGCTGGATTTATCTTCCACTTTTATTGCTGTATACCTCCGTCATTCTGAACGTTTTGCTAAATTTCATATCATTGTTGTCATCCTAAACGCGTTACAGACATTAAAATGAATAGATTTTAGTTGCCTATTAGCCTATCTCTGTCCTGACAGGAGCGCAACGTGTCAACAAAGTGACCCCAAAAATTGGAGGCCTCAATGGCGGCACGAGACTCACCATAGAGGGGCAAGGTATTACAAATAAATAAAAAATCAATATGCTTTTAAATTAATCCCAAAATTCAGATTTTTTTAAAAATCAGAATCAGTTTAAAGTCTCTTATAGCGTTTTTTCTCCCCCCCCAAACTTCGGCAACAGTGTGACGCTGGTGTCGCGAACCAGATCTGTTCCCTGTGATGTCGAGAAAGACTCCAGTCACTCCAATCAGATCATGTGTTATACAAGGTAAGCAGTGAATCAGATAACATATAGGCTATTCTTTTATCTTGATTGTAGTCATGGCATTGTATTAAGTAGATTTCTTTTAAATACTCAAATGTGAAAATCATGACCAGTCCATATGACTTCTCCAAGCCTTCTGAGTTCATACAAGCAATGTATGAGAAACATACCAAAATTAATATAGTTTATTCCCTGAAAATCTTCCCCGATCTCGCTGCTCCCAAATCTTATTCATGCAATTTGAAAATGTGAATATTGAAATTTTTTGACTGAACTTTCTTTTAATGTTATTCTAGATTATTCTGTATGTATGTAATATTGAAAAAAAAAAGTTGCATTTTTAAATTCCCTTTGCATTTGATGTTATAACAGGTTTACTAGCAGACTTTAGTCTGTCATATTTGTGCATAAATGGGGAAGATAATAAGATTTTAATTATTTGAAATAGCTGTACCACATAGTGTTATGTGCAATGTTGATAGCTTATTTTTCTCAAAGAAAGCTTTATATTGCATTATATTTAGAGCTCTGCCAGAAGATGACTATGAGGTGCGGGTCAGCGTGGATGGCGTGCCAATTCCTCCCAGTAGAATTTGTAATGGATATCAGTGGTATTACTGGTGCATGTTTTATGTAAGTAAGATGGACTTCATTATACTTACTAAAATATAATCTTCTCAAAATATTACAATTCATAAAAACATGCACTGCTTTCACAGAGCCGAACATACTATACACCTAGCATTCAAAGTATCAGTCCACTCTCAGGTCCCCCAGGTAAGTTTTGTTAGTTTTTGTCATTACTCTGCTGCTTTGGTTTATAAAAAACTATACCTTTCACAAAAAAAACTGAATGACCTTTAGGGACTGTGGTGACACTGCGGGGAAGAATCTACACTGATGTGTACGGAAGCAACACAGACAAAAGCTCAAATGGTCTGGATGCAAGATTTTTAAGGTCTAGAAATATTTAATACACAATGGAAAAATATAACTGTATGAATGTTAAATATATTCTGTCTTGTCATAAAGTGTGTCTGAAACTGTTTTAATGTGTTTTCTTTGAACAGAGCGTACATGGGAGGCATGCCTTGTGAACTTCTAAAACCCAATTCAGATGAAAAGTAAGTATATCTAAATTAAGTTACTAATAAATGTAAACATTAATTGTGAATGCACCCTCCACCCTTTTTCAGGTATGGCCTCTTTTTGGATTATGAGAGCAGTCAATGGGGATATATGAGCTGTAAAATGACTGGAACGTATGTTGGTGAGGACATTATTAAAACATTCAATAATTTTTCATTCACTATAGATTTTTGTCAGATTAAATGTCATTGCCTTTGGTTTTCAGGTCATCACAACCTCAGTTACATTATCGACGGTCAATTTGGGAGGTCAGAGAAGTTTGATTTTACTGTACTAAACTTTACATCAAAGTCTCTGCATGTTGTCGACAGAAAAGCAGACAAAACATATTTTCTTTTTGTAGGAGTTTGCCAGACTTTGGGGTTTTCAGCATCTCAGCACTGAACAAGCTTGCCATGTTCCAGACATACGCAGGTGTGGATAACATTTATTCTTCTTAAATAATACAGCATGGAATTGTCTGCACAAAATCAGATTTAAAAAAAACATGGCCGTTCTCTTTCAGATGTGACAGGAGTTTCTCCCTCTGAGGGCAGCATATTGGGCGGCACATTACTGACCATTCAGGGACATTACTTTGATGAGACTGACCAACGAGCCATGGTGTTAGTAGGAGGTAACCCTTTGGAAATCAATATTATATATATATATATGCTATGTGATATACATAACAAAATATATAATTTAATTAATTTTGTGACTAATTATAATTATCCAAATGATTATAAATTATGTATAAAAAAAAAAAAAATTGAATGTATTTTTTTATTATTTTCTTCCTTAGGTCGTGAGTGTCAGATTCAGAAGATATCAAATGAGAGGATTGTCTGCATAACACCTGGTTATGAAAAAAACAATATGACAGTGTTTCCTGGTGAGAACCTTATCTGAAGTCAGATCTATTATGATGATGTAATATTTCTGTAAAAATCTTTCCCGACACTGTTGGCACGACAGAAGAATTATGCGCTCCACACGCGAGAACATTTAACTTTGACACTGTTGAAGTGTCACAACACATTATCTCAAACAAGAACATGATTCTCTTTTGTCACGTAACTGTCTGTTTTCAACAGGACATTGTATATCAGAGGCCATCACATAATTGGCAACAAGGAAACTGGAATTTATATAATTCCTTAATATTCGTCTCTTTGATCTTAATATTTAATTTAATTTAATTAGTACAGAATATTTTTTCATGGTTAATAATGGTGGATATGTTCAAAAGCCATGGCTATAAGGTATGTGTTCATACACATTGACTTTGAAAGCTACCCTGAAAAATATTCATTGAAGTAAAAATGTTCAAGATGCTGAGGTCTCCCCTACTATTTATGAAATTAATTACACATATAAAATGTACATTTCTATTACAGTACTGTCTTGATTGTATTGAGTGATGATTAAATGATTATGTTTGTAGGTGGCAGAGGTTTTAAAATGGAGATGTGGAACAGTTCTTCTCCAAACCTTCTTGAGGACGTCCTGAAGTATAATTCCAGTAGGCCTGGATATTCCTTCCAGTGGGTGGATTCACTGTCGTTTGTTTGGCCCAATGAAATGGATAACTTTGTGGCACGATTGAGTGGTTTCTTTGTTCCAACGGAGACCGACAACTACTATTTCCGAATCAAAGCAGACGACCGATGCCAGCTATATTTCAGCAAGACAGGTCTTCCCCAGGATAAGGTACCTGAATGATAATAAAATCATAGTTTCATAATTTCAGTAGTTATCAGTGCAAGCAATTTTCCTGTTAACTGCCTTTTTGAGCATATACTGTATCTGGACTTAAATGGTTATAATGTATGAATGCTTTGGAATACTACTAAGGTGGATCTATTTTAAAGAAGGCACTTAGCAGATTATTGCAGAAGTAAAAGCAGCATCAGAAAAATTAAAGTGTAAAAAAGTTAAAGGTTAAATGTAAAGCAAATGTACTGAACTAAATGTTTTTTATTTTACACAAAATATTTTACAAAATAATTTGGACTCTAAAATTGCTAGAAAAAATAAAGCCATGTTTTTAACCAAGTTGTTTACCAAATTTGAAGTTGATATCATGAAAATTAAGCCAGCTAAAGGGTTTAAAGTACCCTTTCCATGGTAATGATGTCCAATTTCAAAAAAGTTTTTTTTACAGGATTAATTATGAGTGTTTAAGCTTTCGAATGATACCTAATTTAAAAAAAGGCAATAAAAAGTGTGCTAAGTGCTAGCAATACACTGACAATTAACATGCTATGTAGAGGCTAGTAACTTACACAAGCATGTTTTAATTTAATTTAAATGTAATCATTTGTTTTATTTTAGGTTAAGATTGCATCACAGCCTTCATATACAAGCAGTTTTTTCAGCTATAACACTCAGAGGTCAGACGTCATGCGCTTAGAGAAGGGAAAACCGTAAGTGAAGGGTTTCAAGTAAAAATTGTTTAAAATAAAGTAATAAATGGTTTCTCTCTATTAGTCTTTTTGTCGTTATTATTGACTATATTGATTACAGTATTGTCAATATGAAACATCTTTCAATGTGCTACAGGTACTACATTGAGATTCTAGTGCAGGAGTATGGAGTAGCAGCATCAGTGGATGTGGCCTTTTTCAAAGAGATCAGCCCTTTCACAGCCCAGCAGACAATTGAAGCGGTTAATGAGAGACAAAAGATTAACGCATACTATGATATAGTACCTGAAAAACAGGTAAGTGAGCTCACAGATGCATTTTAGGGAAAGTTCAAAGCTTATCTAGATAAAATAAGATAGAAAGAAGCCTTAGGAATTCATTTTCTGCACTGCACCTGCAGAAACTCAAGTCTCAGATATGATCTCATCTACCTGCTATGTGCATTTTTTTTTATTCTTTATTGTTTTAGGTGGTTCGTTTCATGGGGTGGATGCCAGTAACCCCCATCAACGAGGTGCAGACTCTGAGAATCAACAGTGATTGTTTCTCTCTGAGCAACTGTGAAAACACATACTACTTCCTGGCATATGGAGATCTTAAAACAGGTGCATTAGTTCACACAGCACTATAAATTCTCCATATTTTTGCATTCACGCTTTTGCACTACCTCTAGAGACATCTTTTTGTTTGGATATTTGTAATGTTTACTGGAGTTGCTTTGCATGTTGTAGGACCGATCCCAGTTAGTGCATCAGCGATGGAGTTGCAGAACGCTCTGAATGATTTGTGGACAATTAAACCAGACAGCGTTACAGTCACAAAGCTAGAACTGGACAATGAGTCACTGTACAATGTGACATTCAACTCTAACAGAGGTGAACTTAAAACAATATTTTTTTTAAAATCAAGATTCTTTGACTGATTTCTCTGTCATCTGATTTTTGCTAACAAAAACACATACATGAGTTTATGTACTTTAACAAAATTACCCATTACTATCACGGTGGGACCGGGAATAATTCCATGGATTCAGGTGCAGAGAATAAGTATTTTAATAAGACAAAACATAAAATAAACAAACCAAATCTAAATCCAAAAACAGACAGGGCAGGACCAGGCACAGAATACAACACGCGTAACCAATAGAACGAACGAGCACAGGACAGCAAACACAGGAAGGCTAAATAGGGAGGCAAACAAAGGAGGGTAACGAGACAGACAGGTGGAGCAAATAAACCAATAATCAGATAACAAGGGGGAGGGATCAAACAATGACAAGAGCACATGGCTCAAAATAACAAACAGCCATGTGCATCACAAGACAGGACAGACATGTGACAATTACACTAAATTTCAGTAAAAATATAAATTGTAATAAAAATTTTTTGTAATGACACTAATTTATAAATGCTACAGTTAAAACCTATTGCTCTTACTGGTTAATTGGCCAACAATGTGTCACTCTTTATTTAGTCACCGCTATATTTTGACAATTTTGATTTAACAGGACAGTAATGTATGTACATGTAAAATACTGTTAGATATATGTTTTATTGAAATTAAAAAGTATGGTAAAACATATATATAGCATGGTGAGACTATACTTTTTAATGTGCACTTCTACGGTAAAATAATGTTAAAATAATATGTTTGTTAGTAACCAATACGGTAACACTTTAAAGCTGCAGTCCGCAGTTTTTCCTCTTTGTCGCCATCTCTGTTCGAAATCTGCAATTGCATTTATTCGCGGAATTATCGACTTTACGTGAGTTGTACCTTGGCACGGCACAGCGCGGATGAATCCAATGTTTGAGGAGAGTGTGCGGCTGTCAGTCACTGCGCCGGTGTGGATACTGGCATTCAGAATCACAGATTCTACTTTTTGGAAGTGTGACCAACATAAGAATTTTCACCATAAATTGTCATCTGAAAAAGTAAATAACATCCACGTTTAAGGGATTAAGGGGACCAACTAAGGGGAAAAAAGCATTGCAGTAAATCGCGCTGATTAAATCTAACGATCGCTTGTCATATCACGTCAAAACCGTCCAAATTATACTTTGTTGTCAAATTGTTAATGTTATCAACATTAGCATTGCGTGACTACATTTAAAGCCCTTCAGATATTTATCCTTGTTTTCGCATGGGCCGGTTGCAGTCTCTTTTTCCAAACTCTCAGTCCAAAGTCTTTTCCATTTTACATCGGGTGAATCTGTTGTCCCTAGTGATTGTCGTTTGAACCTTTCTGGATCCATCAAATTAATATGTTTTATATTAAGTGCTGTGAGAAAAGACTATAAATCAATTTATTATTTAGATCTCCACCTCCAACATCCTCACACGCAATATAGCCTACTAGCCGAGACTCCTTCTTTATGTGTACAGATGTGACGTAATGACACAAAGACATGCTTGAATTTCCCGCGGAAATCCACCAGTACCACTGGAATTAAAAACATTATTACAAGCTTACCGTTTTGAATCGAGCTAAGGCAAGCAGATAGTTTTGAACACTGACTGGTTATGTATTTTCTCAAAAAAATATTTTAAATTTTTAACCCAAAAAAGTTACGGACTGGAGCTTTAAGCTTAAAGCCTTTAAATATAATGCATTATTATGCTTTGTAATGCAGCTTATAATGGATTGTATGATTTAATGAATAATTGTAACCACAGTTATAATACATTATAAACTTAATTTTTACATCTTTAGAAAGTGTAATGCATTAAAATAACATGACAAACAATTTTGGTTACAATTATTTATGAATATGTATAAGGCATTATAACATACATAATGAATACCTTCATAATGCATGATACATAAAGGCTTTAAGTGAAGTGTTACCAAAATACTACTAATAAAAAAAAAGAGTAAAAAAGAAGTCTCTGCATAACGCACCACTTTATATACTTTTCATATATATTTAAATTATTAACTTGTTACTTATTTTTGTTAGCAGTTTTGTGCATTAGGGTGTTTTTTTGTTGTTGCCTTTTATGTTGCTTGTAAATTATTCCAGTACATTTAAGAGTATTTTGCAATATGTTTTTGTTTTGTTTTTTTATCTCAGGTGACTTTAAGGATCTTGACTACCTGATCATGGGCTCAGATACTAACATCACAGTTACTGAGGATGTGAAAGGCCAGGCCAGCATGGAGACGTTCACACTGCTGTGGGGTGGAGTTCCGTCCCTCCCTCTGCCTTTCAATGCTTCTGAAGCTGAGGTTTTTGTTTGTTTTATATTTCTTAATATTTACCATAGAATAAAATGATAGCCATTACAGTCCTGTGTACAAACAGCTTGAATACTCTCTTGAAATATTCGTTTTCTTTTTTTATTAAAGGTGCGTTCAGCACTAGATATGATGATCAGCGCTAAATGTCCAGCAGAGATTCCGACCATGGAGAACACTAATGTGAAATTTTTCAGAGATTATGAGACCACCACCACAGGGGTAAGCAAGGCTGCAAAGCAGATGATCAAGTATGTTCTACATGCAGAGGACATGCCTACCTATTTCAAATCAAGTCAAGTTTGCCTTGCAAATAATGTGTGACATTAGGTATAGCATTATAGACATCAGTTATTTTGTTGAAAACATCACTTTGTTGTCCAGTTTTTAGAGCTTTCTCCTTATCAAACAGTTTTCAGGTGATCTAAGCCGCAGAGGGGTCCGGGTCACTGATTCGGAGGCTTTCTGTGGCCGCTGGTCTCTGAAGAATCCAGAGATTCTCTTCAATGTCAATGACATTACAGCATCCGGAGCAATCTACAACCCAATACTGCTACAAACATACAACACTGTAAGCTCCACTAAACACCTCAGCATCTCATCCTTACTAATGGATCTTTCTCAGCATGGAAATAACATTTTCAAAGATTAATATATATATTTATATATGTATATATATATTTTTTTTGTAGCTCTGCTTGGCCTACAAAGGGCGTCTGGTGAATGAACTGGGAATATTGTTCAGTTACATGACTGCAAATACTGTCCGGGAAGAGAACATACGCATCTCTGTGCAGTTTGACTCAACGGATGAGTAAGTTTAATCTACTGAACATGAATAGTAACCTGATGTCTGTCTTTATCGCAAAAATGTAATAACAAAATCAATTCATGTGAGGTTACCATTGATGTTATCATTCTCAGGTGGAACTACAAGTGTGTGGATCTCCTGAGTTCCATACAGACAAACTACATAGGCTCCAACTACAAACTTCTTCAGTTCAGTGTGTATGGAGTGGCAAACTCTGGTTACTTCATAGATGCTGTTCACATTGGACGTGCTTTGGATTCTAGTGGTGAATAGGAATACGTTTAAAATAAATTTGACATTTTATTTGATTTTAAAGTGGTCTTTTAAAATGTAATGTTCTATTATGTCTCTCCACGTGTTCAGTTATAATCCACAGAAGAAGACCACCTGCTCTGGCCAGTTCAGGACTTTTCTTTTCAAACATAATTGTGAGCAAACAAGCAAATGCTTCACAAGTCAGCTATGAGATCACCGCGACACCTTACAACTGTGGCTTTGGTGCCCCACTGTTTGAAATAGGCTTTCTGAAGGTAAGTTAGAGTAAAATGGAAGTGAAGTGCTGGAACTTCCAGATTTCTCTGATGTGACAGATGACAACAGAATATTTGCATTTCATACTGTATGTCTTTGACATTTGAGTTCATTGCTATATCTCTGAATTGTTTCCTGGAGATTGTGTGCACATAATTGCATAGTTAAAGGGATAGTTCACACAGTTACAAAATTCTGTCAACCCCGTAAGACTTTTGCTCATTTTCAGAGCACAAATGAAGATATTTTAATGAAATCTGAGAGATTTCTGTCCCTCCACTTAAAGTCTATTCACCCAACATTCTAATGCTTTAAAACAATCATAAAGAGATCATAAAACCAATCCAAATGAATTGAAGTCTTCTGAAGAGACACATTTGCTTTATATGATGAATTTAAATTATTTTTAATCACATATAAACATTGATCAGCGAACAATGTTTTCAGCATTCTAATTTGGTAAACAGAAGCTCAAGTACATTCTTGTGTGTCACTCAGAACGTTTGAGCTTCTGCAAGAAACAATGAGGTTCTTGTGCATCAAGCAAGTACGGTTAAACTCTATGCATGTTCGCTGGTTAACGATTTCTGTTAATAAAAGCATAAATTAAATCTGTTTATATAAAGCAATCGTGTCTCTTCAGAAGATTTGGATTAAATCACTTGATTGAATTTTGGGTGAACAGACTTTCAGTGGAGGGACATAAATCTCTCAGATTTCATTAAAATGTCTTTGTGTTCTGAAAATGAACGAAAGTCTTATGGACTTGGAGGTGAATTATCCCATGTAAGCCTTCCATATTCTCATTCTTCAGTCTTCATTTATATCCAACAGAAGATGCCAAACAGAACAGGAGACCTACTGATTCAAAGCCAAGGAAATGCCACTGTCACTATCATGCGCCCTCAGAAAGCCACCCCCCCTCTTACAGGAACCTTTAATGTTGAGTTCTTAGCCCGGCGTGTTGAAGGTAAGCATGGTGGCTGTGGGTTTCTCTGTTACTTTGTTGTGTAGCTGCTGGAAATAACTGAAAAATTGTTTGAGTCGCAAAACTAATTTAGTAGAATAGCGAACTAGACTTATTTCTACATAAACCACAATCTCCCAAGAGGTTATCTGTTTTTTTTCATGTGGTATGTGCATTGTGTTCCCAGGCCTGGCGGTAGACATCAGTGCTGCGGACCTGCAGTACTCCCTGCAGGGGATCCCAGAGCTCGGCCAGCTGCAGGTGCAGAGATCTGGAGACTGTAGAGGCTACAGCTGGTACATACAGTGGCTCACCATCCCTGGAAATCAGCCTCTGTTAAAGGCAAGAAAGAGTTCAGAGTGCTATTACAATAAA